TGAAAAAGCCCTCGCACAAGCCGAAGCCCTGATCTAGAGTCAGAGGAATCGCCTGCGCCTCTTCTTTGATCTCCTCCCAGGGCTGCAGCACCACCTCCTCTGAACGCTCAGTGAACAGTGTGGAGGGCTCATCAAACTGCTGCAGGTGGTGGTGGCTCTGGAGCAGCTGATCCTGGTCCAGCTGCTGCTGCTGCAGCACATGGAGCTCTCCCATATTGACCGTGCACTCCACTGAAGCAGTGCTCAAATCCATGAAACCAAAGGACTGGTGGTGGTTCAGGTGTTGGCTCTGACCCATGAGGTCCACTCCTCCGCACCACCTCCCCAGCCCTGCCGAGTGCTGCCTCCCCTGCATGGAAACGTCCATCTCACAGCCAAGGGAGCTCAGCGCTGTGTTGATGTCCAAATCCTCAAAGGTGCTACAGTTCCCACTGAGAACATCATCGAACACAGAGGCCAGGTCAAAGTCCCCCTTTAGGATGTCTGCTTTGTGGGCTTCTGTTGCTAAAAGAGGGGACTCAGCCCCCCTCATCACCTTATTGTTGTTTTTAGAAGGCAGGTGCTTCCGTTTGCTACCCACCCCTTGGTAAGGGCAGCCATTTTGAGCGCTATGGTAACCCTGAAGTAGTTTGTTCTGTCTGTGAGTGCCACCGCTGCTGCTGCTGCTGCTGCTGTTGTAGTGGTTGGCAGACATCCTCCTGCGCTTGAAGATGCCATTAACAAACATGTCAGCATACTGAGGATCAATCTGCCAGAAGCCTCCCTTCCCTGGCTCATCTTTCTGTCTGGGGACCTTCTTGAAACACTTGTTGAGGGACAGGTTGTGACGAATAGAGTTCTGTGACAAGGACACACACACATACACACAAAAGGAATATTTAACATTATCCCATTAGCTTTAAGCAAACTTGAGTTAGTCATGCAAAGACTGAAAATGCCAGTTTGTCTGTCACAGAGACAGGAAGAAAGAATTAGAGATGGAGGAGGGGGAAGAGGAGTGTATTGTTGTTGTTTGTATAGGAAAGCAAATGTTCCTAATGAGGCTTTCTAGTAACAGGCAGCTCTGTGCATTTCAAACATGATCAGCTGTACTTAGCTGCCATCTCTCTCAGGAGCCCTCATTAACACACACACACACACACACACACAAAACACTAGAGTGCTCTCTCCTCCACATCTCCATTTCCCTCAAACAAAAACCCTGTATGAGCACTCTCCTGGAAGATGAACATTTCTGAGACTCTTTCATTAAAAAGCACTTGTGGAAATCATCAAAGGCACAGATCTTGGGGACAGAGGGCGGAAGGACTTGAAGGTTTTCAGATGTTCACATATCTTAAAATATCTTGTTTTCTCCTGACAAAAACAAGGCCTTGTCTGATGTCCTATATTCTAAAGATGTAGTGTCTAGTGGTGACACAGGAGTCAATTGCTCACCCTTCCCTCCCTCACCTCACCATTTATCTGACTCATCAATAATAGAATGAGAGTTATCCGGTCTCGGTTACCTGCCAGCTGGGCTCCGCGTGTCTGTAGTAGCAGAAATTCTCTGTTATCCAGTTATAGATGGTGGACAGAGTCACTTTGGGCTGCTTGCTGGCCTGCATGGCCATGCAGATGAGAGAAGCGTAGGAGTAGGGCGGCTTTACTTTAGGGTTGGTTTTATAGTCGACCTCCACCGGCGGACTGGCCTGAATTGGGATCTGTGGGTAGCCGGATGTGGGATTTGCACAACTGGCGAACCGCGGTGCCATGGTGGTGTCACTGCCGGAGGTAACTGGGCTCCCGAGGTACAGAGGCATGCCGGTGGCGGCGGTATCCCCGGCCGGTGGGCTGGACGGAGAGTCTGTACCTCCCCTGGGGAATCCGAGCCGCTTGAGAAGGAGGTGCTGCTGAGAAGTAGGGCAGCCCGGTCCAGCGCCGTTGGGTCGTTCCGGGTCCGCACTAAGGATGGAGAAATTCTGGAGCCAATGGAGGCTGGTGAGACTGTCGTCAAGGGGGAGAGAGTCGGACGCGGGGACCTGATCCTCCGGGTGAACCGCCAGCCATTTCTCCTTAAACTTGTTTGCGATGTCAGGGCTTGTCAGAACCGGCATCCTGGTTTGGCGAGCACGATGAGGGCTGAAGACGACCAAAGGATCAAATCAGCATTTAAAGTATCTTGAGGTCAAAGAAAAAAAAGCAGTCTCGCCTACAAGAAGAGACTAAAGTTAATTTTAAAAATGTAAATCATCTCCCACACAGGTGCGAAATAAATCTCCACGGATGGAGGACTGCTTAACAATACGCACTACATTCGACCTATACATTTCCAAATGATGCGTAATTTCCCTACCTTACCTACTGTGCAGCTTTTTTTGAAGGAGATGCTCAATGTGCACCTGTTGCAGTTCGTCCCTGCCTCTCCTCTCCAAGGACTCAGCGGTGCATGCAGTCTCTGCGCAACAAGTGCGGCGGGGGGAGGGCGAGGAGCCTCCTAGCAGCAACTCATAAGGAGGAAAGAGAAGAAATACGCCTCTCAGGCCAGATCCATGTTCACTCATGCGAACCGGGCAGTTAGTCATCCAAATGCTCTGCTTGGTTTGAGTGTCTGTGGGAGGTCTAGACTTGAGAATGTGTGGAGGTTGTAAAATAAGTCGCTCATAAAGCCCGAGAGACTGCCCACCATCCCTTTAAAGGCCTGGGGAGGCTTCCTGATTGGCTGGCTATCCTTGCCTGTCCAGGTTTCAATTTAAGTCTCTCTCTCTCTCTCTCTCTGTGGCCTGTCTGTCTATCTAAACGCTCACACATTCACACGCACTAAAGGTTGGGAGCCCAAATGAGCAGTCCTTGGGGCAGGGAGACCCAGTTTCTCCTCTCTCTACCGTTAATCTCTGAAATGTGACCTCTGTTGCGCGCGTCACAGCATACCCGCTAGCGCAGTAAGAGACGCGCCACAGGTCCCGCTTGTAGAGCACTTTTTCACCTGCAAGGAAAGCAGTCCACTTTAACTGAAAAGCCTGGATTTACCATGCCTTTTTACATTGGATGGTATGGTTTCTGTTCAAACGTGAAAAGGAAAATATTAATTAATTGAATTTTTGAATATTGCACAACGAATTTATATGGTTATGAGTTATAGTTAATCAAACTGTAAATATACTTTCAGTGGATTTCAAGATAAACCTTTTTCAAAAGTGTATTTAATATTTTAAAATATGTACATAAGGAAATAGCATAACATAGACATTTCAACTATAAGCCACCTATAGTAAAATAGAGGAAGTTAAGTGGTTCATGATAGAGTTTGGTGGATGCGGTTAATACACCACATGAAACAAATAGCAGTCCGTGTTAGTTGTTAGCTGTGTGCGTATAACTACATAACTGTGCCAGTGTGAATCATTGGAAAACACTGCCACCCAGTGGATTAATGCTGCATTACAAATACACACGGCCAAACAGTTTAAGACAGTGACATGTTGGAATATGAGGCAGTAGGGCTATGGAAGCCCTGAAGGTCAGACATACAGAGGAAAGCACCGATCGTCGTCTGTTGGGACACACTTAGGCATGTCATAGGATTCTTTAAGGCTCCATGTTAACTGTAAGCTTGTGTTCATTTTATTGTTTATTCTGCTTTTCATATAAGGGATGCACTGTGTATGTTTTCACTGCAAATGGCATAGATTAGGCAAAGGTGCACTGCAACTAAATCTTACTGCAATATCCTGTGTGGCCCTGGGGTACATGCATCTAGTATTCATAAATATGGAAGAGTGTGGGTATGTAAAGTTTGAATGAAACTTTTCACAACCGAATTGTATTGTATCACCTTAATTAGACACTAGCCATGCTTCTGATAAAATATGTGATGAACACAAAACCTTTTCTTCTCATTCCTGATATACTGTCATTAGAATCTGGTTGAAGAAGAAAAGCATCTGGTATGTTGTGTTACAACTTCATATATTTTGGACCCTTCCCCAAGTGCCACCTTTTACAATAGGCCCTGCCCTGGCCGCAGCACCCCAATAAGCAAATCCTGGTGATTGGGGTAAAAACCAGTGGAGGTTCTTGCTGCTAAATTCTGAGGATATTTGCATGCAGCGTTCCGTAGGCCATTTCTCTTCCTCCTCAAAGAGATTTTGTCAGCACATCTACTGAGGTTTAAGATTTGCAGTGCAGAGGCTGACAAGGGCTGGCAGTCATTGAAGGGCACAGAGGATGGATGAGTTGCAAAGTCTATGCTCTAGCACTTCAAGAACCAGGATGTGGCCAGCTGTTGCATCCAATCAAAGAGGCTTGATGTTTAAAACGTGTCCAGGTTTGTTCATGTTCTTGACAGAAGGTTTACTGGTGAGACGAGTAAATGTTTGAACAGCTGTTCTTATTGTTGCCAGGCTTCCCACTGTCCTTCAGCAAGAAATAAGCACACATACAGTATGTCTACAGTACATCAGATGGGTGTCGATATATACTGGGGAAAACTCCACATTTTGGTATAATGTGAAAATATGATTTCATTACCATGGATGCCAGTGACCTCAGCTTCACTGCTTTAACAGTAAATACTTTTAATCGTTCCAGGCCTTTCTTCTACCAGCAGGCGTCTCTGTTTCCAATCTTTTCCCCATCACCATGTGCAGCTGCTACAAGCATGCCATTGATAAAAGAATGTTTACAGTTTCCCACAAATCTGAGTGGTGTGTTGGTTATGAGAGGGTTCGCTTTACACACAACTCAGCTCTTAAACTGCTACTCTGTAAGGTATCTCCTTTACGGACACTAATACACCCATTTGAGGAGGCTATTTGAAAAGCAGGGGATTTGTTGTTTTTGACTTTAATAGTAGGCTACAAGTATTCCCATATATAATAAACCAGCATGGTGTAGTTCAAGAATGACACAGGCTAGTCTAATCATTGTCTTACATACAGGCTATTTTTGTTTAAGCAACCCAAATGGCTGCATTGTCAGCTTTTTATCACACCACATGGCATTAAACAGGATAAATGGCACTATTTTGTTTGAGGATTCATTATAATATGCTCATTAATTTCAGCAATTTATGGTCACAGGGTAACTAAGTCATTAATATAGCCACCCTTATAGCCATCTGGATTAAGATGGGATCTAAAGGCACAATATATTCTCTTATTTAACCTGGTTTAAATCCTTTGACACCCAACATCTGATCTGCTGTAGCGTCCTTGAGCAAGCTCAAATGGAAATGGCCATGTATCGTTACAACAAAGCACAAACGGGGGTCCGAAAAGGCTACAGTACCACCGCAGTCCGCACTGCTGTGTGCATGTAAACTGCAGCACTGAAGGGAATCACACATACACACAGAAGTGGTTTTATGAAATAAACGCAGCAGCCACTATACCTCTGAATGTACACGCCGACTGTCGGCTCACCCTAGGCTAACTCCGAGCGATGTAATTGGCGATGGTGGATTTGTTTACCATATTTGGCAAGATAGTAACACAGCGCGCCTGGGAATTGGACGAGAGCGACCGTCATTCACAAAAGTCGGCCTTCTGGAGCTTTACAAACAAAGCGAGGGCTCACGGGAGTTGTAGTCCAAACAAACCCTTTCTGAAACTCCTCGAGTGGGGGTTTACCGATCTTGCGGTTATTTAATTTGACAAGTATATACCATAATTTAAAATACGCTTACTGGGATGAACTATTTTCTATTAATGTCTCTTTAAGAATCAAAATGTACTGTCACCAGTCGACTAAAGACACGCGGATCCAAGACCCTCTGCTTGCAGCACACAAACCCCACCGGCCACGCTCTCCTTCGATTGGCTGAGTCTCTCTGTCAGTCACTTAATGTTCCCAGCACTACCGCTCCTACAGTAAATATTTGTGTTTTCTGAACCGGCTGTAATGGTGGACGACTGAGGCAGAGAAACGGAATACAGCTCGAGTGAAGAAAGATAGGAAAACGGTCGAAATTGTGCTTCAGAGCCATTCGCCGCGAGTAGGACACGGGCTTCGTCGAAAATGGATGAACTCAAACATCAAGTCATGATTAACCAGTTCGTCCTGACGGCGGGTTGTGCGGCAGACCAGGCGAAGCAGCTTTTGCAAGCGGCACATTGGCAGTTTGAGGTAAAAGGAAAAAGTGAATGACAAGGCTTTAACTTTAGAGTCGGCAGGGTTACGTTAGCCACTCGGCTAATGTTTATGTCCGCCAGACCGTTAGCTTTGACTGGAGCCTGCCCGTCTGCCTCTCTAGTAATTCAACACAAAACAAAGCGTTTGTGTTGGCTCTCTGTCCGTTTTAAGTGACCTCAGTCTGTCCACTTCCAGACCAGAACTTTGGCTGAAGTACACGTTTCTGCGCTTTAGCCAGACTGAACCTGAAGGCAGTACACAGCAACGCAGTTGGGGTACGCGTACACCCAACATACCCATCTATTCTAGATTAATGCTATAATCCAACACATGACAGTGGTGAACAGGCGAGGCCAGAGAGTACTGTTACGCAATGAAGATGACCGTGTTCTATCGACTCGCCTACAAAGGAGTAGTCCGGTACAATATCGTTTAGTCTGCGGTGGCCCCGATATAGATTTAACTACATTTCATTTGTCGTTGCCGCAAGCTCCTTGCATTGTTTGTTTTATTTACACCGCTACAGAAATAATATGTTGCCTTTAGTTATGTTTAATGTCCCTGTGTGTCATATAGAAAATTCCACAAAATGTCATTCATCTCTTGTGTGTTTTTGTGTAGACTGCCCTCAGTGCCTTTTTTCAAGAAACAAATATTCCATATGGCCATCATCATCAAATGGTGAGTGCGAGGAGGAGGAGGGGGTTCATTATAATGTATTTTTATACAATGTGTTTACCTGTTTCTGAAAATGTAACAAATCTGATTTCAAGCTAGTGTGTCTTTAAAGCTACTATGTTGTTTTGGGTGGGATGGGGCTGATAAACAGCCCTTATAGGCTGAGAGGGTCGATGTTGTACTAACAATAACAAAGCACATGTCGGCCATGTTGTGAGCTTCCAGAAATAAACACACAGGCAGGCATGCAGCTCAGCAGCCACAGCGAGGCTGTGTGTTTATGTACACACAGTGAGGGAGTGAGGATGATAAATGTAAATATATGAAATCCCTTATTTTTTCATTGTATTAACTAGGGTGCATAAGGGAAGGAAGGCCCCCTCAGTTTCTAGGTAAGAGAGAAAAAAATATCTTTTTCCAGGAAGAAGACGGCTGACTCTCACAAATACTCTCATGCTGTTGCAGTTACTGCGGGTAATTCCTCTGTTTTGCACTGCTGGGGTTATTGGGTTGTGCCCCTGACACGACACACATTGGAGACCATTTAGGGGTGGGCAAATTGGAGCACAGTAAACTGGAAGGCATTAGGGCTGCAGGATGATCTGCACACATATGCGCTGGGGTTGAAGATTATGAAACACTAGCAGTATTTGGGCTTTTAGCAGCAGCCCACAAGCCGTTGTTTGCAGCTGCATGCATGGCAGCATACAGCAACAGCTGCCCTTATGGATGTGAGGGGATTTTGGAGGAAATTGTTAATCATTTATTTGAGCTCTTTCTCAAAGCTGCCTCTGTGTTTGTGTTTGGATTACTGTTTATGCAGAAGAGCAATCAAACTGCTAAATGTTTTAGCTTTGCATTTGAAGACAAAAGCAAGAGACTGTGTTAAGAGGATTTCATTTTTATTGCATTGTTTATGTATATTCTCTGAGTAGTGCAGTAGTAGTCACCAGTCAGTATGGAAATGGCTTCCACTGAACTGAAAGATTTTTGCCATAGCCTTAAGATAAAACAAGGCAGGTCTTTTTTATCATCAGATCAGTAATTAAGAGCATGTCACTTCTCTGTTTAGTTCATGAAATGTCTCACTTTAATTCAGAGAGCAAACAAAGTGTGAAAAGCTGTCCAGTTCTGTGTGCCAAACAGAGCTGAGCTTGATTGTTGCAGACACTGGATAATGAAAGTCAGAATGCGGAGCACCTTTATGCGTTTGTGGTCTTGTTATAGACATGTTGTTGCATAATCGCAAGTTCACGTTCCCTTTTTTTGCACACGACAGCGCGTGTCTCTGTGTTTGTGTGCTTTACATGCATGCATTCATATTTTGTGTGTGCACAGAGTGGGTGTTTGTGTGTGTGAGTAACACCAGTACTATGGCAGGGCAGCATGTCCAACCTTCCTGCAGTTTATCAGGCCACAGTGTTCATTGGTATACAAATCTAATCCACTTTGCTCTCGCTCTTAACTCCCTTTCTCTCTCCGTCATGCTCTATTCCTCTCTTCAGTTTTAAGTAAACATGAACAACATTAAGTTACAGTTCTGTTATACATGCTGTTGCAACAGTGTTTTGTGTAACAACACAAACTGAACTCATCCTTGAGATTGCTGTTTTGGCTAGGAGCCTCACACTAACCCCAGCTGCCCCAACAGATAGCCTGTAGACATGCAGTTCTTGGCAACATAGCGGGTTAGGACATCATGTAGGTCAGTTAGTTTATGGATGCTGGCACCCATAAACTAACTGCTAACTAAAGTGCTATTGTTAAAATACATTTCATCTCTAAACAAAGCCTGTCTGGTTTGGATTTGTAGCAGGAAGATGGTTAGCATTCAGCTAGTAAGCTATGTCAAGTCTAATTTTGTTTATCTGTGTGTTGTATGACAGAGGTTTATACCATGGATCAAATAGTGATGTTAGTCAGTCCACTCCCTAATACAGTCTTGCACAATGCCATAAATGGTGGAGGATTTAGTAATTTAACAATCACAGTCTCATGGGAGTGCATGATGTAAAAGAGCTGCAGTCTCTTCACAGACATGCATCTTCACAGATATGCGCACATGACTGCTTTTTCTTACATGTGTAGACGTACACTAAGTGTGTTTCAGCAAAAGCCACGTGAGCATTGCCTTAAACAAATTGTCCATTTATCTCTGTGTTTTTGAATGAAGTCATCAAAACGCACATGTGAGTTTCATGATGGACAGCCAGGCCCTAAGCTCAGTCCTACCTGCTCTATGATTTGGGCAGCGCTTCTTCGTCTACGCCCAGTTTTCTCCTCCACGCACACCCAGACCATGCAAACACCGCAACCACACCACATTCCTACAAGATGCACCAAAATAGACCTTTTCACAGCAAAAAGGGGCGGGTATAACTAAAAACACAGTGCACTGTCTCTTTCTTGAGTTTATACATTCTCACTCCTCTTGCTGTCCTCCTCTCTAACCCGGGCTTTCACAGTTTACAGACACAAAACATCAGGTGCTGGAATTGCATTTCCCATTTATTTCCTGATAGTAATTTTATGATCATGTCCTGTCTTCATCCTCTTGTTTTAACATGAAGCAGCTACCTCCTAAAGAACAGCATGTCAGCAGGTTCACTCACACTTTGCTAAATGTTATAGTTTTACTGTATTTCTGTTGTAGCTGACTGTTCGATGCTAGTCAAATATTATGTATATATTCGCATGCCCCTGTTTTTTTTCATACATATTGGGTGTCCCAAGCTCTTTTTAAGGCACTGCCTTTGTAAAGTCTGAGCTAGGCTGTTTCTGATACTTTGATCTGTATATCTCTTTACACAGTCAGAATGCCACCTGCAAAGCTGCTCTTCCACATATACATTGTCACTTCGTTGCAGAAGAATAATAATAAACAGAAAATTACTTGTTTGTAGACAAAACTAAAATGATTTCTTGTGTGTAGGAGAAATATTTCCTTAAAACTACATAGTTTCTTGTGGACATGATGAGCAACTTTGGGAGAGAATTTTTTTCAGTTATTGTGGTTTTTGAGTGGTCCAGTCTGGACAGGGTAACAGCTGTCTGAATTCAAGTACTGCATCTCTATGAAGGAACAGCAGTGATGTCTCACTGTTTGTGCACACTAATATCTGTGTTTCCATGATTTCTGTGACACAGCGAGGGGCACACACGGCCACAATAAAGTGAACAAATCCTCATGTGACCACAGAGGAGGAAGTTTGTTCAGTTGGATGAGTTCCACTGCTGTCTGGGAACATGTGATCACATCATGTGACTAAGGTGGGAAACAAACTAAGCCCCAAAGCCTGATGCAGATGAGTGTCGCCCACTGTTCTGGCTAATAGTAGCAGTAAGGAGAGCTCGGCAGTAACATCAGGACTTTGAAAAGTGTGCTCTATTTAGTAGGCCAGGGTAGTAAAAATAATCTGCCTCAAAATATTTCACATTCCTCCTTCCCCTTTGAATCATATCTACACAATCACTTAACGTCTGCCTCTTGTTCTCACTCTGGTATGCTCTTGCAGTAAAAACAAAGAAACACTGTTCTTTAAAAGTCCTTTTACACTGTAAAGAATATTGGCCTGGTTCTGTCCTTTCTTCGCTTTTTTTATTATAAATAATTATATTACCTAAATGTAACCTGTAAGTCATTTTCAACTATACCAATTCAAAGAACTTTTACTGTTTCTTCCTGCTGCAGAGCACAGTGCAGCCAGGCCACATATTACAACCCAAAGAGTCATAAATAGAGCGCTCCACGGTTGGACGATCAGCTTTTTTATTGTCCTGTAATTGCCGTTTGTCACTGGCATCACGCACAAGATGAATGGAACTGGAATTTTTATAAAGGGCAGTCTTCACCTCCAACTGTTTGTGTACAGTGACGTAGAGTTTTGGGCAGTGATAAAGAGGGTGTGAGGTTGTTTTAAGGGCTGTTTCCTGGCACTATGAACACCCACCAGGAGAAGGAAGGAGGGTTTGGTGTGTGTGTGTGTGTGTGTGTGTGCGCGCGCGCGCATGTCTGTTTCTGGTAACTACAAAACACACAGTATAGATACCGGCTTTCATCAAACTCGATTTGACAGTTCTAGGTGAAAGGTTATCCAATCAGAAGCTTTGTCCCGCCCCCACCCTCCCCCCTCCCCTCAAACACTCGAGAAAGTAAACTGCGAGGCGACCAGTAAGTTTAAAAGAATCATGTTTAAAAAAAAAATATATATATATATACACACACACCTCACGTCAAAAAATAAATACTAAGTTCTGTATTCTCTAAAAAAGAAACAGGCGCTCTGCGTGATCAGCAACAGCATC